AAAATCTTCGTGACTCCTTTCCTCCTCATAGAACACGGACAATATTATGTTCTAGGCTAAGAGCCCTCGTGTAACTGTGCATGCGTTATGTCTCATTTATAAGATTATAAATGAGCTGATCGTTCGTTTGTCTATTTCCGGGAAAAGGTGGGGTCATTGATAAGGAATTATATAAAACATTGTCGCTTTTTTTCGTCTTGTTTCACGTGCAAGTTCCATGATGAATTAGTAGCCGATCAAACTGGTCAGGCCCACCAGCCTTAACGGGCCTAAAGCCAATAAGCGAACGATAAACAAGGGCTACAGCCGTAATCGCTCAGTGTGGCCAGTGACGGCTGCCAACATCGAACGCCAGGAGGTTCTATGATATGCGTTAACACTTAGAGACGCCGATAAAAGCATGGACATTGTTAAACTGTAATAGAAAATTAGAATACTGCCGAACATTTTTGTCTACGGTGAATCTAACGGCTCTCAGAAGGGATTTCGTAATATACTTTAACGTAGACTACTGATAATATAGGTAGCGGTTAGCTTCATAGGATTGGCTTGGTTCTCTTTTTGCCTCGAGTCAAGCTAGAGAGCGTTACGTACAGAACGCTGGCAAGAAACGAGTGAGGGCAGCGCATATTGAAGTTCACCCAAGTGTCGCCTCTGTAACGTCGACGGTAGTCTGACCAGCTTTTCTGTCCACCCTGCGTGTTCTTGCCAATGAAGTTCCTGGCGTCTTATGTTCTTCCCTCGCTCAGCCGTCCGTCGTATTAGCGAAGTTATTGACGCTTCGCTAATACGACACCAGCCTGTGTCTCAACTTCATACTACTTTATCGGTACTATCTTGCACTACTAGCTTTATATATGCAAGATTCAGAAGTAAACGTGGCAAAGTGCAGACTACCGTCATCCTTGCCTTGACAATTGCCGCACCAGGTAACAGAAATAGCGAAATTGCAGTGTCAGTTTTGACGATATTATTTCAACTAATGCCTGTTGTTTCATTAGTCCTTATACGCAGTTACTGAGATACAGGGGTGACACGCAGATGAACCCGAACTGGCCCAAACCTGAGACCTATTTCGGACTACGATGGTACTAATCGTTCCTTTGTATTACTGGACATTCTATTGTGTTTTTCTTGTTCATCATCATTAGCATTATTATAATCAACATTGCCGCGATCGTGCTTCTCCCCTGCTTGTCTGCTAAATTTATTATGCCAATCTAGTTACTAGTGCTCGTATTAGAAGAGGCACACGTTATTGTGTTTGTTACCAGTTACAGGTTAAGCGGAGCGAGGTTCCCGACAGCAACTGTCAGGGTATTGCCGGGGGTAATACTTTAATGGCGTGCGATTTAATCAATCATTGATGCTCAGAAAATGTCGTGTTGAATTGTACATCGCTGTTGCCGTTTTCAGCATCTCTAGCTAAGCGTTCAAAATGTATCGGATTGAGGAACCGTTGTCCGAAATGGACGGTTTGTGCTAGGAGCGGGTGACAAATAACGCGGCTATATGTCTTCGTGAAATATCAAATCAGTCCTATCAGTAGTAATGATCGCGAAAAGTGGCAACGGCTTTGATCTCTATTTATTTTTGTCTGCCTTTGCCCTTCCCTGTGACTCTCAGGTATCTGTAATTATCACACTGGCCATTATTACTCTGCTCATTATACCGTCGGCATGGCTTACAGCCGATCGACGCCGTACTCGTCCGAAGACGGGCACCGCTTGTCGATGATCCGTCTTCAAAAAAGTTTCGTCAACGAGTCGTTAGCTGCGTTGCAAACCGTCTGACCGACGTTCGATCTCAACCGTAGCAGCTTTCTTGTTAACCGTAGCGATCTGTGGTCAGCAGGTAATCGGCTCTGGGCGCTGTGCACCTCATTCACGTGAGAAATGCATGTCGTGCATCCTATAGAAAAGTGTCTTGGACGTCTTCTTCACCAGCCACTCCACACGCTCTCTCTGGCAAACCACGGAAGCACAAATCACGACTTCCATTACCTCTCGTTTGGCTGACGTCCGTTGGACTCACCGCGTTACCGTGTGAAGTGACTAGCAGAAGCAGCAGCGGTTGTCTGATCTCCACAGATTCAGCACAGCATGAGTACGCAATGATTACGGTTATGCTTGTGTTTACGCCGATGACTGAAGGCAACCCTTCAGCGAAATGGTCCACTAATGATGACTAGTGCTATGTTGAAAGTAGCACGCAGCTGCCTGTACTCGTTTTATTACATGCGATCAGTAACACGGGGTCTAAGCCTGAACCGCTGGAGCTAAGAACAACAAGCTTGAAATAGTTTGTATATATGTACAAGTATATAAATACAAACCGTCTATTGGGTCTATTTGAGCTATTATCTATAATAATATTTTGTATGATAAATAGATACAGACGTTCAGTCAAGAAACAGTCACCAATCAGAAACACAACTTCTCGGCTGCATGGCGCTTTCCATCTTTGCGGGTCTTCTGAAGTGCCTTCTGGCCTGCAGATATGTTGTGATGGAAGCCCCCGCCACTGTCCTTCTGTGTTTCAATGTGAAGGCCAAACACTAGCTCGAGGGTTGCCCTACAAGCTAAGGGGACGAACGAATCTCACCGAATGTATTTCCGAGAGATCGCGGAGAATGGACTATTGGGAAGCCGAACGAACTAAGGCCTGCCTTCACAATTGGCACATTTATTACCAATGACGAGATTAAACATTGCTCATCTAATACTATCGACTTGACAAAGCTGACTCGTCGTTGACAAGAATTGCCTGTTGTCAGTTAAAGCGCGCGAAACAATCCGATCCTCGTATACAATTGACCATAGTAAAATCAAATAGATCAAATCTGGCAGGCGCGAAAAGAGGCGGACAAATCTAGTTACAATAGCATAAAGTCGTTGTTGATGGAGATCGTTGAGTTATAGAAACGCACCATTATTATTATTATGTAACTTTATGATGGCATTACATACGATGCTATAAAGTAGTCCAAATCAAGTTTCGTAGATTGTTTAACTTGTTCATCAGTCTTTGCGCAATAAGTATGACCTTCCGCTTTCCAGCCTGTTTCTGACGTGATATCGTACGAGATTTCTTCGTTCTATTGTACTAGGCGAATGAAATTGACCGAAGGTTTTTCAGTCTTTTCCAAATTTCTCCATCCTGACTTCCTCTCGTTTATCTAAATTCGTAAAATCATAATGATACCAACAGTAGGCTAGATCTAGTTCGCTTTAAGTGAGGCTTTCTAGCGTCTTCGCCGATTTCCGCCGTTCTTCGCATCGTTTCTACTGCCGCCGCCGCCGCCGCCGCCGCCGCCGCCACCGCCACCGCCGCTTATATTTTTATCGCTGAGTGCTAATGCTAATTCTGCTGACGGCCCATTGTTTTTAGCGTCGTTGTGACGAGGCTGCCTTTACTGTTGCCGTCGGTAGAGATGCAAATAATGAAAACGGCGATGATAGTGATGTTCAGTACAAGAGATTCGGAGCAGTTGGAATCGTAGCAGCGGCTATGTGGCAGTTTTCCCCAGCGGCTCTGAGAGAGACAGACAAAAGCGGAGAATGATAAAAAGTGAGGGGTTGGTAAGCAACTGACCACGTTAGCCGGTGAGCGTATTAAGCTGCTCATGGCTATATGGATATCTGGGTAGCTAGCAGTCGCGACCGCTTCTACCGCTGGCGTTGTCCATCTAATTTACATGACAAAGAACGCGAATTAACGCCAACGACAGATACAGAGCTAACATCAACTTTAACACCAATTGCAGTTACCAGAACCGTGACTGCTACCGCACCAGTTGCCAAGTCAGAAACTTTAGCGGCTTGAAATAGTGGCACAAGCAGCAGCGGCGGCGCCGTCACAACTGGTAGCTACCCGCAGCGTCAAAATCAACAGCTTTGTTGATCTTTCCCATCGGGGCAACATGGCAACAACAACCTCACCATCAACATTCCCATCAATTGCCTTCATCATCATCATGCCCATCTCATCTGGTTGTTGTAATTTTAGTTGGATAGTCGTCGGCAGTTGTCGGTAGTGGCAGTTTCAACGGCGGGGTTCGGCGTTTTATGAAACTTCTGTCTTTACCAAGGTCGCAACTTGAATTCGCTCCGCAACGACGCTGACGACAACGCGGTGGCAAAGCGATGTGGCAGCGCCTGATGGCCGATGGCAGACGGCTCACGCTTGCTACTTCTGCTGCCTGCGCTTCAGACCCCCGCTGCATCAGCTACTATGTATACTGTCGATACTGGTCCGGCCCTAAAACCACTTACTGCTTGCACTAGAATATGACGCTTGCTAACGCCAGCGAGGCGTCTGCTCAGGTAACGATAGTGCCTTCGCGCTAGTTCAGTGGTGAAGTTATGTACAACCACTACTAGCAGCTACCAAGCGTAGACCATACGCACAACCATCAAACAATATAAGCCAATACAAATCGCTAGCTGTTGAGTCTGCAAAGCGACCAAAGGCATGGGGAGGGAACAGGAGGGGCTAATAGATTGGCTCTACTGTGGAAACCGTCCATATTCATATCCGATTTTGATCGGACCAGCGATCTGATTTGCGCGACTCTGATGGGTAGCACCGTTAATGTATTATAGTGGCACTTGTAACAGCGACGGAAGGCAAGGATACTTGTTTGTTATATATATATGTATGTATGTGTGTGTATGTGAAAGCGTTTTATCATTTTAGAAATTATTCCGCGGTTAATTGCCAATCTGGTTGATTTAATTTTTACTATTCTATTTGCCAACGTGTCATGCACCCTCTTAAACATAGGCATGCGTGAAATCTACAAATCTCTAGGTCTCATATTGACTAAAACTATTTTTTATCGTAAATTTCCTATACCAAGCGCAATCTTTTTTATGACGTGCACAATTTTTTTTTCTATATTCATAGTGCGTCGTTAATTTCAATCACTGTTTTCTTTGTTGTTTTCAATAAAAAAGATCTGATATAAGATATCCGTTTGCTTTTATTTATCCTTACAGTCGAGTCCATTCGAAGAAGAAGATAAAAAAATGAAGCGGTCGGACAGCGTGGAATCTCTCGGAGTTCCCGGGGCAACCGTTGGGGGAGCAACGAAAGAGACGGGCGCCGGAGCTACGCAGGGTGGCGGGGGTAGTGTTGCATCACCTGCGCCAGCCCCACCGGCCCCTGTCTTAGCCAACGTTCCTGTTCAACACGAGTCCGCAACAGGTAAGTAGTCATTAGTTGGGTTAGGTGGGATTACATTTTCACTGTATTTAACAATAAGTAATTAAGCAAGCGTTAATCAAGTAGCAGCAAATTGGTAACATGTCTAAAATATGCTTGTTCCATATGTTACTCTAATTAGAGTAATTCTGACCAGGCGGAGATACGAATCATGACGTTTACGTATAGCAGATATGGGTACAGCTTTAGTGACCAAGGACGCCCTCCCCCCCCCCGCTTTCTCTCTCTCACTCGCTTTGAAACACTTAAGAATAATTTAGAATAAGCTAAACTCAACCAGATTTACAAAACTAGTCTCCGAGGTAGCTTAGTGGACAACGTATTATCTTGCTAATCTTAGAAATACGTTGTGGTCTAGGTTCGAACCCATCGGGCATAGACAGACACACTTTGTCGTTCCGTGCTGGAAGCCAGCCAACCGTCTCATGGGATTATGTCTCACGGCGATACCGGACGTAAAACTGGAAATATATAGACTTAAAAAACGAATCGTGCGGCAGTATTGCGCTAACTGTAAACCTCAGATAGGCTCTGCCACATCCTATATCCCGTTTCGTAAACATTAAACAACGGAGAGTATCCAAAGTGATGAAAATATGTCTTAATTTGGTCTCTTCGTCATTATACACGAATTGCATTAGACGGTTGACTGCATAGAACTCACCTAACCAACGTTTAAAACTAGTAGGTTACGCACACTGAGTTCATGTAGCTGTAGCCGATATTACGTGGTCTTGTTACCTTCCCATAATTCTATATTCCATATTACGGGTCGAAGAAAGTCTACTGAGAAATTATTTCGCTCCATTTCCTTTTACCTTGACTGAAGGTGCAAAGAGTGCGACTATTGACATCTTATTCTCGCTATAAGTGTGTATCAGATTAGTTGTCTGGTTTCCATTAGCTATCCTTATCCAAACAGTAGTTTGTAAAGGGGATCGGCGGATTTTTTGTCGTCGTCGTCGTCGTCATCGCTGCCGTCGCTGTCGTCATTATTGCTATTGTTGTCGCCACCGTCGTTTTCGGCGCCGTCAAAATAGACAGACATCGCACCCAATTGCCACAGTTCCTGCATAACCACTGGCGCTCTCAGTCACGCTCACTGTGTTCCACCTTCTCGTCCGGTGGCCACCCAGCAGATTATGAAGTCGTAATGCGTGCGATAATAAATATATCTGTCTATAAGACTGTAAAAGGATAGGATTTAAGCCCACCAACCATCCTAAGAGGCTGCTGCCGTTGGCTCGTCTTTCGTTTTGAGAGACGATCGCTTTTTCTCGGCGTCGTTTCGATGTCGTCTCGACGCTAAGCGGACTACACGCCATTCACTATGTGTCTTAGTTTCTTATTGCTTGTATGGCATTCTAGCCCGGCAGGTCGCCAGCTAGCAGCGCCATACCTCCGTGGCACCGTTGTCAGGGTTAATCTTATTGTCAACCTGGAAGATCTATCCTCGATGCATGTGTGTGTTTCTGTCTAGAAGTAAAATAGTTTCTTCCCTTTCGGGTTTTCTTTCCTCTCTTTAGCACACACTTACCTCTGCTGAATGTCGCCGCCAGTCTCACTGTAGCCGTAGCTGCCGTCGCGGACAAATACGGATGCAAACTACTCTTGAATCTGTCACACTGGCACTCAGTCGCAATGCGCATCAGCCTTCTGCCTATGCACATCCAGCAGCGAGCGGCCTCGATGGACAGCAGTGTGGTAACGTAAAATTGTAAACGCGGCGATCGCAGGAAGCGGTTGGAAGAGCATCAAGCGAATGAATAGAACAGAACAGAACAGAACAGAACGTGGGACGGGGACACTGGACTCGACGAGAAGAGCCCCCATCTCCTCCCCCCCGCCCCCTTTTCAGCCGCCGAAAGAAGAATACAAAGAGAGAATTGAGAGGAGTGCTTGCGCGTGAGTCCGTGTCGCCGTTGTGGCGATGGCGAGTGCCTAAGCCGCGCGGCTCAACACAGTACCGCGGCGATCATTGTGGTCATTACAGCCTAGCGGAGAGTTATCGTCCTTCCTTAATAGACAGATACTAACGCAGCGGCGTTACTCGTTGATGGTGATGACGGCTACTATGGGCGACCAGTAAAGCTGAGACATCCGCACACGCACAACAACACTTAAGCCTTGCTCAAGTGGAAAGTCAGCATGGAGCACCAGTGGCAAAGCTGGGGACGAACGTGGAGCAGAAAGGAGCATCATCATCGGCATCACCATTATCATCATAGCTAAGATCAGCGATGGCAATGTATGGCCGAACGCAAACCATGCGGCCTGTAGCACCAAAAAAAATTCAGCGATTAAAACAAATACAAAACTCGTAAGCCGAAATAGCCCAAAGCCCGATACGTGCTCGATATGCTACCCCCACAACCCCCCGTTCCTTTTCGTCTCTGCATCCTGATGTTTGCGTCAGTTAGTTAGCTCTAATGTATTAGTGGCTTGTGCGTGTTGATCGCACTGAGTAGCTTGTGCTAGATTTGTCGGCTTGTCATCAACAAGCAGATACACAAACACATACAGGTGCGCTCCATTTGACCTGTTGGCGATGTCGTCGCTAAGCCTGCATTGGTTGTTTTTTGTTTTCGACCTCTTCTTTTTAGCCTTCAACAGTTTTCCCTTATCCCTTCCATCTGACTCAGCTTCCAGAAAGCCACTATTAGGTTTCACGTGTGCTATCGAGTGATGGAAACAAGTAACTAACTGATAGTGACAGCAATGGTTTGTATGACCTATCATTTGGTAAGCTTAAGAATGAAGTGGGCGGAAGTATCCGGTAAACGGGGGTATCAGCTAAGAAAAATCAGATTTTTTGAAACTAATTGAAGACACCGGTTTAACATTGACTATCTGCGTGCACGTATATCTGATTTATACGACAATAGCGGAGTTCTAAACAAGTATGCCGCACAGATCCGTTATAGAGTCGCGTGCACAAGCTAGGTATTTCACTCGTAGAGATTTGTGGTTAGGCTCGTGTTGAATAAGTTGTTATGACGAACTAGCATGACGTCAACTATTGGACCGCGCAGCTCCTTGTGTGTCAGCGAGAAAAACTGGATTCGTCTGTCGCGGACCATCCCGTGGCCGCCGTCAGAATCTTCTTCGTGGTGACTGTACATGCTACAACTAGTACGCCCGAGAGTATCGCTTCGCGGCGCACGATCTTTGCCAAAGTGGATGACTTCCACCTGCTATGATTATTCTCACCGAGCTGTTGCTATTGGCCGTCTGCTCATGCCGTCTATACGTGCACCTTTCTTTTTGCTTTTCCTTTTGCCTGTTCCCGTTGATTTCTCTCAACGGAGAAAAAACGACGCCGAGAATCCTTTAACGCTGGAGAGCGCTGCTATTTGAGGCGATAACATCGAGCGGTCGGTGTTCGGCTGTCGGCAGCATCGAGACCGCCTTGACTCGGTCGATTGTCTGTCGCATGTCGTGAACGGTGTCGTCTAAAGACAAAGTCTCTGCTTTGGCGCGTCCCGGAACGAGTATCGCTAGTACGGCTGGTGTTGCCATTAATCGAATCGTAATGGTAGATCTCGAGCAATGGATCATGGTTGCCGCTTACAAGATGATCACACTGACCACCACTGATCTTGGAAGTTTGTCTTTTTTTCAATCACTGATAGATTGCAGACGCTATCTATGGTTGACTGTTTCTCATGAACTTCTACCTTACGAGAGGTATCGAGTACGAAGTAGCAAAATTTTCACCAAATCTCAGCTTTTGTTTGTTGATTTCCTTTAGTCTTTCTGTTGCCACTGAAGTGACGACGGCAGCGGCGGTGGCGGCCCCGGCCGCTGCTGCGGCGGCTACAGAACCGCTGCAAGCGTTCCGTCATCCTTTCGTTGTCGGTTCGATAACGAATGAGTGCCAGCGCCGCCGACGGCCGCTCAGCCTGACTCAATCGCCTTGGACGGGCTAAGTCGGCCGAATGAAGTACTTGAAAAAAAAAGATTTCCTGCCAAGCTCTTGTCGCGCTTGGCGAGCGAGCTGGCTGCAAGAAAGTGCCGAAGCAAATCGGCAAAAACGTCTTTTCTTTTTCAAGCATTTAGCTGGTAAATGCCTGGCCCCCATTTCTTGTGAACCACAACAGCAGCACCATCAGTACATGACTGACAATTGATCGATTGACTCAATCTGCGGTAATCAAGGTGCGCGAGAGGGCCGTTCCTATGACCGTGTCTAGCCTAAGCCAGAGTATGCGAAGAGGGCTACGAAGGACAGGTCGAAACAATAGCTCTTCGCACTGCTGTTCCCACTTGGTACTATCGGTACTCGCTACCGTCACCACGTCCGCGGCCGCAACGCAATGAATACGGCACAAGCAGTATGGACGCAGGTCCATCGAGCAGCAGCGACACTGCTGGTATCCTTGTTGTTATTTTTATACGTCGACCTATCTACTTAGGCGCTCTTTCCAATGTGACTGTCGTTATTGCTGCAGCCGCGCGTGATGATTGTGCTCACCGTGATAATGTCTGCAGTAACCCGCAGTTGCGACTCACACGCATTGCCCAGTTATAGGCTCTCGGACGGCCGCTTAGGTGATTCCACCTCGCGGCGACCACACGCCACGACGCGTCACTCACACCACTTAAGTTGTCACAATCCCAGCCGATTGACCTAACAGACCGACTTGCGCGTCCGCCAATCCATGCCGTGTCTGCCTACACCGGTAGCAGCAGCACCAGCGGGAGTGCTGCTTAAAAGTAAAGCTTTCTCGAAAGGATCATACACAGGGTTAGTAGGCGAAGGTCTGCTACCTCGATATGATCTGTATTCCAGTGTCTGTGTGCGTGTGCGCATATGTTCGTGTGTGTTTGATTAAAGACGCTATCGTCGCCGTCATTGGCGTGTCAGCTATAGAACCATCAAAATCACCAGCAGCTTCTGGAGCGGTTCTGGTGTCATCGATGGCCACGCATGGTAGCAGAGCGTCTACCACATAGCATAATTAAATATCAGCGGAGCTGTT